CTGAAGGTACTCACGAATCGGCAAGGGGCTTGGTGCGGGGGCGATGCTTCGGAACGCCCCCGGTGCCAGAATCCGAGTCATCGGAGAGGGATATCCTTCCCCTCTTGGACGCCCCCTCCTCCGCATCTACGGAGGCCGCTCTCTTTTTCCCCTTGGAAGGAGGGTTCTCTACTTCTTCCTCCTCCTCCTCCTTGTCCTCGTCTTCGTCTTCCTCGCAAGAGGAAGGAGCTTCGGTTCCTCCGGACACGGCGCCTGAAGTCTCCTCGGGATGGAGGTCGCCTTGGGCCTCCTTGGTCTTCTTCTTCTTGTCCTTCTTTGCCGGCGCCTGGTAGGGCGTCGGGACCAGCATCTTCATTAACAAAGGATCGGCTGGGTTTTCGTGGAGCGGGGCCGGACACTTAATCCGCTCGGCCTTCTTTATCTAGTCCTGTTCAGGAGATGGAATTTTTAGGACCCCTCCCTAAGATCGACAAGTTAAGTAGTGTTCAAAAATATGATGCTTAATGGGGATGCCGGATTGTTGCAGTCGAGGCCGGTGTCGTCGGATGTCCGTGGCCACGACTTCTGCTTCTTAAAGAGCAGCTTCTAGATCCCTTTGTGCGTCGTGCCAAAGAAGTGCTGCAGGGTCTGTGGCCCCTCCAGATTGAACTCCCATATTTTGAGAGGCCGTCGTTGGCAAGGGAGAGCTCGGCGGATGAGCATCACCTGAATCACATCAGCAAGGGTGATGTCCTTTTTTATCATGCTCTTGATATGCTTCTGCAATGTCGACACTTTGTCAAGGGACCCCCAATCTAGGCCCTTGTTGGTCCAGGATGCGAGCCGCAGCAAAGGTCCAGATCTGAAGGCAGGAGCAGCAACCCACTTGGTGTCGCGGGGTTCGGTGATATAGAACCACTCCTGCTGCCACACCTTGACAGTATCCACAAATCTTCCTTTGGGCCAAGTAACACGGTTGAGCTTGCTCACCATGGCGCCGCCGCACTCGGCGTGTTGGCCTTCAACCACCTTCAGCTTCACATTGGAAACTTTGAGCCATAAGCCGAAGTGTGGAGGGATGCGGAGAAATGCCTCACACACGACGATAAACACCGAGATGTGGAGGAAGGAATTCGGTGCCAGATTGTGAAAATCCAGCCTGTAGTAGTACATGAGACCTCCGACGAAGGGGTGAAGGGTGAATCCGAGTCCTCGGAGGAAGTGAGGGATAAAAACCACCCTCTCGCCGGGCTCCGGGGTGGGGATGACTTGCCCTGGGGTTGGAAGCCTGTGTTTGATCTCCGCCGTCAGGTACCTCACCTCCCGCAGATCCTGAATGTTCTTCTCCGTTACGGAGGAGGCCATCACTTGCCCTAAAAGCCAGATTCGGCCATTGCTAGAGAAGTTGGGGCGGAAGGAAAGTTTGGAACTTAGGCGCTGGAGCTCGGGGGATTGAAAGGCAGAGGAAGAAGGAGGCGTGACGTAAACAGATGGGTCTTTGTCCTCTTATAAAGGCAGCGAATATCAAGCGCCCCCTCATAAGCCTTTAATCTCGCCTATTCCCAAGGGGACGTGTGAACGGCACGGTTGGATTACCCAAAACCCCTATTGATGAGAATCCCGTGATAAGGGGACACGATCTCTGCTTTGACAAAGACGTGTCACTGGTCATGCCTCGAAATATGAAACGAGGCTGTAAAACGGTTCAGAATAATAACAAGGCCAAAACATAACGTCTCGCCAAAAAAGTGGCCCATGGATGTGACGTATTTTAAGTATTATTGCTTTATACAGCTTGGGTGTCGTACGTGTTAAGCAAGGCCGGATACAACTCTTGTGTATGAAAAGCTGCTTTGGAGTATTTGGAAAGGAAACCCGCCTTGCAATGCTGAAGACAATCTGCATGCTGGATATATCGTCATTGAAGCCTGGTTGAGGGGCTAATGAGGGAGTCCTGGACTAAGGGGTCCTCGAGCATCCGGGCTGTGTGATATGGGTCGGACTAAAAGGACCGTGAAGATATGAGATTAAAGACCTTTCCCCGTGTCCGGATGGGACTCTCCTTTGCGTGGATGGCAAGCTTGGCGTTCGGATCATGTACCTACCTTTCTCTGTAACTGACTCTGTACAACCCTAGATCCCTCCGGTGTCTATATGAACCGGAGGGTCTAGTCCATAGGGGCAAACACAATCATACCGGCTAGACATCTAGGGTTTAGCCATTACGATCTCGAGGTAGATCAACTCTTGTAACCCCTATACTCATCAAAGTCAATCAGGCAGGAAGTAGGGTATTACCTCCATTAAGAGGGCCTGAACCTGGGTAAACATCGTGTCCCCTGCCTCCTTGTTACCTTCGATCCCTAGACGCACAGTTCGGGACCCCCTGCCCAAGATCTGTCGGTTTTGACATCGACAGCCGCCATGAGGTGTTGGACCACTGCATCAGGAAATTTCTCACACCATCCAACCGAGCCAAGAGCCCTGTCCAAACGTACTCGAGTGTATGATTCGCCAGTAACTTTTTTCTCATAAGTCCACCTTGTTCCCTTGTACCCGAGGTCTACAAGTCCACAAATGTCAACTACATCCCTGAAACCTTGTATTTGTGATTGGCTCCTACTGCCAATTCCATCGTGCTCATCATGCCTCAAAACTTCATTGAAGTCTCCAATACAAACCCATGGAATGTTATGGAGAGCTGATAATTTTTTCATTGTGTCCCATGTGTGATGGCGCAAGTGAGTCTGGGCCTCCCTATAGAAGCAAGATAATCTCCATGGATCACCCCCAAGATCACTCACTTTTACGTCAATATGGTATCGCGAGTAACCCAAATTCTCAATCTTTATCTCATTGTTCCAAAAGATAGCCAAACCTCCACTCCTATCGGAGGAATCAACGGCAAAAGAATTATCATATCCTATTGTACTTGCTAGATTTTCTGCCCTAACTCCACTAATCTGAGTTTTGACAATGCAAAGTACTCTAGGGGGATACTTTATCGCGAGCTCGTGTAGCTCTTGAACTATCGAGGTGTTGTCAATCCCGGGATAGTTCCAGCATAGGAGATTCATTGTGCCCGGCGGTCCTCCACCGAGGAGGCCGTCGATCTTGCTTCATTGTTCTTCAGGCCTGCATGGGCCTTCTTCTCTCCTACTTGACATTCTTCTCAGTCACCTGCATCAGCTTAGACCTCTTCGAGTCCTATTTTGGTGGAGGGCTGGGTGGCACCACCGCCGCTCCACCCTTGTTCTTTTCAACTAGGGCCAACTCAAGACCCATACTGCTTTTGGATTGGTCTGTCCCAAAATCTCATCAGAGGAGCCCTTGCGGTTTGCATCTGCGTCTTCCATTTCAGCTTCTTTCTCCTCCTGAGTATCACCCTCTGTAGCAAGATCGCCCCCTGATGTTGCTTTTGCTTAACTCTTTGGCTGTTGCTGCTAGTTGTTTCGCCTCTTGGTCGCCCAGCTGGTAGTCACCGGCGCACACAGGTTCTTGTAAACTAGGGCCGATGGAGGGTGGCCTCCGTCATCGTGTTCCTTGAACTGATGACCCATCATGCCACGCACTTGACACCAATCCGGGAGCCTTTCATACTCACCGCAAAAATCTCGCATTCCCCTCCACGAATGATGGAGGTTGCCTTTTTCAGAGGGTTACGAACATCAAGCCTAACTCTGACACTGAAGAAATTTCCCCTGAAGTCAAAAGAAGAGGGTTCCGGATCAACAAATTCTCCAAACTTTGAGGCCAGAGCTTTAACCTTGCCATGATACACTAGTGGGAGATCAATGATCCGAGCGCAACCATCAAATCTGAAAAGCTCAATGGTCGACGACTTGGTGAATTCATCATAAGGAGCTATGATCACGAGGTTACCCTTGTAGTGCCACAGACCACCCTGCGTCACTGTCTCACAGTCCCCAAGGTAATCAAACTTCATGATGAACAAGTTATCCTCTAGGGTTTTAATCTTCACCTCTCTGGCCAAATCCCACGCCGCGCACACGGTGCGGAAGAACCAATAGTTACTAAATTTCTTGTCCATATGAATGCGAGCCAAGATCATTCAACAGAGGTCCTCCTCCGCCGGAGCGTCTTTTTCATCGAAGACCACATCGTCCAGATCGCCCTCTTCTAGGGCCAACTCGTTCATCAGATTCTCAATCTTGTCTTTTCCCCTTGCCTGATGCAGAGGTACTGTTGTTGCTCGCCATGGCCGCGAACAAGACAAAAAACGATGTCTGCCCTAGGCGGACGAGACCGATCTGCCAAAACCCTAGATCCTTCGCTATGAAACTAAAAACCCTTGCCAAGGCCGGGTAGCAGCACATTGCTACCCCTTGTTCAGCCCGAGAGGAGATCCAAAAGATAGCTAGGGAAACTAGGACGGATGTTCTCTACGTCGCTGCCGGCGACGAGAGGAAAAAAACCTAACAGGAGGGAAATCATCGAGGACTATCCATGTGGGTTGTTTCTCTAACTTTTAGACCATAACTAAGATATTAGTTAATCACTAATGAGTGGAGAGTGGCCTTTTGGCACATGGGAGCGCGTGCTCCTGATTTTTAAAATGTGTTTTAAACATATTATGAAATGTCAAAAAAATCCAAACAAAAACTTGGCACGCACATCTTGATATTGTACATGCTCACAAAGTTGTTTTGCGAAAAACCGACAACTTATGTGTCGCGTGTGAAAAAGACAAAATTCGGTGTTAAAAATGATTTTCACAAGACATTCTTTTGTCTTTTTTACACAAGCCGCAAAAAATGTCGGTTTTCCCCAAAATTTAACGTGCACACATATAATGTCGAAATGTATACGCCAAATTTTGTTTGAAATTTTTTCACACTCTGAAATAATTTTTTCGTGTGCAAGAGCACCAACGGATTTCCGCTGATGGGTGGGCCTAGATTGTGACGGACTGGGCCTTTTACGGACAGCTCGCAACCAAAGCAGAACGCAGTGGAAAGGCGAGGAGGAAGGGTATATATTTCCACGCGAAATCCACCACGATGAGCGGCGGCGGCCGGAAGCCGGTGGGCGACGATGCGGAGGTGGAAGCACTGCTCCGGGCGGCACAAGACGCCGTGCTGCTCAAGCTCCAGGCCAACTCCCACCTCGTCTCGTCGTCGTCCTCCGCCGCCTCGAACCCTCTTGCTCTCGACGAGGGGCCCGGTCCACTGGACGACGACCTCGCCCGCCGCCTCGACGCGCTCAGGTCCCGCCCGGCGCCGCCGAAGCGGCCCGGTGGTGCCCCCACCCCTGCAGCCGGCGGGATGGACGAGATGGAGGCACGGTTCGCGGCGCTGAAAGGCGCGGCGGTTTGCCCGGATAAGGAGACAAGGGTGCGGCTGGAGGATCTGGGAGGGGAATCGGACGAGGAGGACGAGGTGGAGAAGGTGATGCGGTGGGCGATGGACGCCGCGCGGCTCGACGTCGCCACTGCCGGCGGTGGTGCCAGCAACGCCGACCACAAGGAAGAAGAAGACAAGAGCAGCAACGCCGACCACAAGGAAGAAGAAGACAAGAGCAGCAACGCCGAGGACAAGGAAGAAGAAGACAAGAGCAGCGCCAGTAGCGAGGATGAGGAAGAGAGACTGGAACTGGAGGAGAAGAGGAAGGAGAAGGAGATGATGAGCAAGAAGAACAAAGCCAAGAGCAGGTGGTTCTTCTTTTGATCCTAAATGTACGTTTGATCTCATATCATCACAAGCAAAGATGTATCCCTAGCCCGCTACACAGTTTGATCTCATGATCACAAGCAAAGAATCCAGCAAGTGAATTCAATCATATTATCTGTAATAGAGATTATGAGTTTGCATTGCTATCTCTGATGAACATGATAACTTGTGCAATTGCAATTGATATTTCCTGATATAAGTCTCCAAAAGATTTTAAAACCGATTCTGTTCTTTCCCATCATAATATACAGATAAATCTATGTTATAATGAACTTTTTACCCTAGAATAAGATGTATACAAATAAATATATGTCTATAATTAACTTTGCCGAGTCATCTGGTAGCAAATTCAGTTTCAGCTAGCAGTCCTTCAGCACAAGGGAAATCAAGTGTCTCACTCATAACTCATAAGCACTGAAAAAAACATAACATGCAGTCGTAACTAATAAGCTCAACAAACAAGTCAACAGGATCTGTTCATGTCAATCTTAAACACAACCAATAAGCTCATCATCTTGATCAAACATCTTGCACGGAGTAGACAGAATGGATTTACTGGGTCTGGGTTCATAGATGGACAACAGACGTTACATATCCTCAAATGACCACAACGACAAGCTACATGCATATCAGCCTGGGTGGAGTACAAAGTATCACAGGAACGCTCAACATAGGAACGACAACGCCAGCCATCCTAGAGAGAGAAGCTTCACTTTCCACTGCAACAAAAAAAAAGGAGATTGCAGAATTTAGAGGCCTTGTTGCTTGCGATTACAGGAGGAAAAACATGGATTCAAAGGTTCATGGCTCTTTGACTTACGTGTTCATCATCAGAGTTATGTTGTCGCCTTTCAAGAGTATCCTTCCTGCCAATTTCCAACATAGATATTAGATACTAGAACTTATGAGATAATGTTTATCTCTAGTGCTGTTACGATAAAGCTTGGTTACAAATGTACTAACCCAACGATTTCCTGGTGTTCTTCTTAATGTTGATTTCCTCAGCATCCTCGAGAACCAGGTTCATGTACTCATCAAAGCCCTGCAGAACACACATACAGTATAAAAACCCAGCATTACTCAATACGGCCCAAATGAAGCACACATGTACAAAAACATTCAAACAAATTAAAAAGGACATAATAACTTGACTACATGTAAAATCTGTTATTGGCACGCTTCAGTACTTCACTGATATAATGGTATCTCTCGGTACCTCCACTAACTTTGTCTCATTGAAATGATTAACATATGCAAATCTAATATACAACCAAATAATCTGTTCTTCCATCTGACATGTTCAAAAGCAAAAGTTTGAGAATCTGACAAGGGATATGGCAACAAAAGTCTGAGAAACTGACGAGGGATATGGCAACAATAATATGACAGACACACTACTGAAAAACCCACGAGACCATGTGGGGCATTTATTACATGTAAACTGGAAAGAAATGTAAACCCAACTGAAGCAGAATAGGCGTGTCACATTGTAAGCTTATCACCTGTCAGTAAACCAAACCATGACAAGAGAAAAACCTCACCAGAGCCTTAGGAAGCAACCTATGCTTCAGTTCTAGAAAATGTGTAGGATGAAGAATTTAGTGTGATCTAAAATAAAGGCATTTTTAGGCCCCTGGACTATCTACTTAGTTGTCCAAACACAATCACCGATATGAATCATATTTGTTACCAGGGGGAGGAAAGGAGGTTGCAAGTTTTGAGGGTGATTCAAAACAACACATAAAGTGGTAAAAAAATATGAGACAGGACACACCAAACACAAATGTTTGACTAACAGCAAGTTACAATGGGAAGGTCCTGAACTCAGAGCAAAAAGTTATGACAAGCTAACTTCTAAGGATAAAAACTATTGTATCATTGACTAGGTACGCACACTAGTGGTTAACATCCACCACCAACCACTCTTTCCTTGTCTGCATTGCAATCAAATTACCACAAACATACACCGATGATCTTCAAAACTCAAAAAACAATGCCCATGACCACTATGGTCCCAAAAGGAACACATCAAGAAAATATCTTCTGCAAACACCTCAGTATCTACTATGGTGAAGTTCTGACTGGGCACATGGATAGTGCTATTACTTGTTCGTGGTTCCACAAGGAACCAAATAACTACTTGCTCCTTGATTTTAAAGGTGACGATTAGGGTTGGTTTCAGTGTTACAAAGATATACACTGAAAAAGTAAGGCTTGAAACTAGATTATGTCCCTCTTGAACAGGCAAGAGGAAAACCGATCTATTACCTAGCTATTGGGGGTGGGGGGGCATCACGACTTGGCACTTAATTAATACTTTCCTGTTGAGCATGCAGATTTGTTTGCAAGTGTTTACCAATTCTTGAGAAAAAGATGCCAACACATTTTCATGTTGGCCTTTAACAAAACAAACAACAGATGTGTTCTGCTAAGTTATCGGTTCATTATATTAGAGTATTAATCAATTCACGCCCACTTGCTTAGACACAAGTAATACATGGAAATAATTTACCCTCAAAGCCACATGGTATGCAGATACACAGTAACATTACACTTAACACACATGCGTACGACCACAGAGGGATTGGTAAGGCTAAATTCTATCAATTTGAACAAGAAATCGGTGTAGGAACTTACGATGATACGACCCTCGATCCGCATATCCTTCTGCTCGAAAAGCCAGATCTGGATGCGCGCTTTCTGCACCAAAATTAGAACCATATTAGCTCAAGCCAACCGTCCGCAACCCTAAAACGTAAGGCGGAAAAAAGTGGACGAATTGTTATTTCTCCTCAGCCAACACTTACGCTCTGGAGGAACCGAAAGATGAGGTTCTGCCGTCGCGCACCAAGGATTCGCCAACCATCGCAGCAGCGGGAAACAAAAGCGCCAAAACGTTAGGAAACAGATGCAAAAAGAGGAGGAGAGCATATGCACAGGAGGGGATAGGGGAGCGTACGATGGGCTGGGTCATGATACGCTGGACTTTGGTGGACGCCATGGCTGCTGCTGCGGCGTGAGCTCCTCCTCCGACTGGAAGTGTCTAGAAGCTTCTGGACGGAACCGCGTGTGGGCAGGCGGAGCGCGGAGGTAAAAAAACCCTAGATACGCCGCGGGGGAAGAGGGAGACGGCAGGGTTTTGTTTTCGCACGGCGCGCGAGAAGAGGCGGCAGCGGGGGTGCCTCAAGATTGGTGCAAGGCTTCCGACGAAGGGTCCGGATCAGAGGATCTGTTTGGGCTAGGCCGCCCCGCGCTGGGCTGGGCTCGCTATCTTGGCGGCGATTTCATTAAGGCCTTTCCATTCCCTGAAAAAAACAATTTAGGCCTTTCCAAGAACATGTCCCGTTGTACGCTAAAAGTTTCAAAAACTTTGGTACTATGCTGCCAAAATGAAAAGTCTAGTAATATATCACAAAAATCATCAAAAAAAATATTTTTTTGTAGAAAGGCCAAAGGCCGTATATTAAATAGCACATACCCTAACAAAAACTCTTACAGAAATTGAAAAATACATTCAAATCCTTGGGATGCCGTAGTCTTCTTCCTTGCCGTGAGCAAAACTCGTTTGCGCCTATGGGTCTCCACCTCGGCAGAACAAACTTGTTTAAATCTAGGAGCTTGTAGATGTAGCGGCCGAAAAGTCGTTGATGTAGACCAGAAATTGCCGGCGACACTAGTCATAACAAATCGTTAGAAAATAATAGATACTTTTCCATAATAAAAAGGAAACTACTACTCGAATATCCATTTCTGAGCCCATGCACATTTACACCCGGTCAAGAAAAAATTCAAACAAATTAAAAAAATCCATTTTTTGCATGATAGATAATTTGGTGCTTGAGACGCGCTCCAAATTCCAGACAATTTGGACATACGAGTAGTGCTCAGCAAAAAAGGCTATTTGTGTCAGAACAGTACATGAAATATAATATTTTTACATACCCCAAATTTGTCTTTTTGCCAAAAGCTACCCAGATATCCAAATGATCTGAAAGTTGGAGTGCACATCACGCACCAAATTATCTACCATGCAAAAGAATTAGATTTTTATTTTATTTTTCTAGTATCTTTTGATATTTTTTTCTTCATCGGGGGTGCAGATGAGACTGGGCACCAAATTGCTGCTCTCAACTACAACTCATGTATTCTTATTTCATTTATTTATTTTGGGTGTGGAAAGCACTTCTACTCATGTATATGATGGCGGAAGAAGATGGCGGCTGATTTTAGAGTGTGCTCATTCGGTGCGCGTAGAGGGTCTGCTAGATTGGTTTGTGCTCTGTTGCCGGATTAGATGATGTGTGTTGATGCGAGGTCAGAGCACATCATCAAGTTTGTAGGGGTAGCGACCCTAGTTGCCATGCAAGTACCTTTTGGGTTAATCCATGCACTTATTTTGTCGGGGCCTGTTGAATAATATAACAATAATAATTGTGTGCATCCCTTGTTCCAGAGGCCGGACCTTTTCGAAAAAAAGATAACACAAATTATGTTTAAAAGTTCACCCGGTTCCTCAAACAAGCCATGAAGGCGTGAGATGGTTTCATTAGCATTTCGACCACGACTAAAGTTGTCTTTGACAATTGACATACATTTTGATCAAATAATTGCTGGCGTGAATCATCTCAATTGAGCAAAGGGTTGGAGTCGAAGACAAGTTTAGAGGCAAATGCAATGGCATCGTACATGTAGTTGCTTGACCTGTCTCCATGCAATACTGCGATGTGAAAATCGTTTGGGGACGGCACAGCAGCTGTCTCTACCGTCATATACATGCTGGATGCTGCATGCCTATACCGGTACCGACGCCGCTCGTTCCAGTGAAGAATAGCTTTCGACCTTTCAAAAACCCTGCCTTTTCGTGGTACAACGTGTGCTTCCCAACTCCCAACTTTCTCGCAAAAAAGGTATGAAAAGTTGTAATCTATTTAACCGAGCTTTTACAGCTCGCTTACAGAAGAAGCCGCATATATACATGCTCCTGCCATGACAGCCAT